TTCTACATGACCCTTAGATGTGATAAGTAGCATGATGAGCTAACAAATATTCTTTGATGGTCACATTATTTTGAGAATGACCTGATAACATGTTTATCTAGTAGTTTTTAAGTGTTGGTCTTTTATTTTGTTTATTTCTTGCTGTTTTCTGAATATAAATACTTTAGCTGTTCATCATCACACTTAGGTTATTTTCCTCTGCTTGACCTTTAAACTAATTAGGGCTCTTCCTCAGCATGCCTTTGGTTCCTGAAGTATGACCATTTTAGACAAATTACATTTTTACAAATTACTTCTTTTGCTTAGGGGCAACGGTGCCACAGGAGTTAAGTGCTCGCCCTGTAATCGGAAGGTTGCGGGTTTGAGCCACGCTCAGTATGTCGCTGTCGTTGTGTCCTTGGGCAAGACACTTAATCCACGTTGCCTGCTGGTGGTGGTCGGAGGGACCGGTGACGCCAGTGCTCGGCAGCCTCGCCTCTGTCAGTGCACCCCAGGGCAGCTGTGGGTACATTGTAGTTCATCCCCACCAGTGTGTGAATGTGTGTGATTGGGGGAATGGCTGATTGTGTTGTAAAGTGCCTTGGGAGGTTCCAGGACTCTAGAAGGTGCTATATCAAATACATGCCATTTACAGAACATCATTTCCTTTCCTGAAACGATTATCATCTTCTCAAACACTTTTAGGGTAATGTGTATCTAAGAACACCATCAGTTGTTTTTTTGCATGTTCACTCTCTGTATTTGACAAATGAGTTTTATGCTCCTTAAATAAATCTGTTGTTCATTTTCACTTACGGAGTTTTAATTTAGCAGTATTTATCTCGTGTTGGCAAATATCAGGCATTATTAAGATGACATTGTACATTGTTGATGTACTCTTTAACTAAGTCTATGTGAAGTTGAAACATTATTTTTTTAGTTAGGACTGGTTTGGTTGTTAGTTAACTCCAGAGTTAGAAGCAAAGAGATAAAAATTTAAAAAGTCACTTGGTCCTGGACTTGATATGGTCTTTCTCACATTCCATAATTTGACTCTAATGATGTAAGTAAAGGTGAACGTTTCTGGCATAAGAAGAGCAAAATGCATAGAGTCTATGACATTATTATTTTGTGATATGAGCTTGTGGATGCTGACGAGCTTCCCTTTTTTCCCAGACGGGTTGATTCTTCTTGATTTTGTTAGATTACAATCACTTTTTGTGTTTATTTTCAATTTTCTTTACACTGATTAAGGCTTTTTTGTTAGTTTTATTTAGTTTAGTTTTGTTTGTTTTATGCACATTATGCTGGACAACTCTGCCCCCTGCTGATGTAAACTGGTAATTGCAAGTTCCTTTGGTTGGGTATTTTTAGTTTTTAGAGAAAACATGTTATGTGAGATCCACCTTTTGCATCGGTTTGAAGCGATGTTTGCCGGTATCGGTCCTGTTTTGTTTATGTCCCTTTATGCCTCTTTTGCTCTGGTGAGCCATGAGTTGTCTCATGTATCAAGAGGAAAAATGGCTAATAAAGATTTCCCCACATCATTACATTGCCTGGATGAAAATACTTAGAACATTGGATAAGTTTTTTTTGCTGAAAACAAGTCAAAATCAACAGTGATCTCCCAGAATTTTCTTGTGCTTTTTCACCCACAGGTCATGAAACCAGGAAATTGGGTTCTGATGAAGGTGCTGAAACAAGACAATTGGGGCAGCCAGAGGTGAAAAGGTCCATTCGAAGTACTCCTCACCACTCCTACTGCTGTAAAGATTGCTGAGAGGCCATCTTGTATTCATCTATCCCACTGCAAGCTTATCAACGTCAACTAACTGCTTTTAGAGCACTCTGAAGTCCGGCTTCAAAGGCGTGATGGTAACAATACGTTTTCATGTCTCTACACTGGTGAAGATCATGTCTCTACACTGGTGAAGATGGAGATTTGCATCAAGCTTGCTGGTTTCACCACATTGTTGATATTGGTGCATGTTTATGGCCCTGCACTTGGGCCACCTCTCAGAACCTGATGGACCGACTGGGACTGCAGCATTTGAGGGGGTACTAGAACTGTAACTGAAACGACGGATTGGGGCTTCTCCCTGACCGCACACCTACATGACAACGTGACCTGCATCCACCTTGCCTGAAGACCCCCTGGACGCAAATACAACAGGACACAGCGAAGAAGAGACGCTGGAAAAGGAAAACTGCTTCAATAACCTGCAACGGCAAAAGGCCTTCCAGAATCAGGCCATAAACTGGGGGCCCCGGTCGGAAACCACATCGACAGGGAAGCCATGGAGATGCACCACGTCTTCCAGGAATAGTTCTGCAGTGCGTCGGGCCGAAGGGAGACCTGGAAGGGCAATGAAGTGGACCGCTTTTGAAAAACGGTCTGTGACTGTGAGGACCGTTTTGAGGTTGTTGACTGGTGGGAGTCCTGTGACAAAATCCAGGCCCACGTGGGACCAGAGACCAGGGATGGCTGGGCACCGGGAGTGGTCTGAGGAACCCAACAGGGGTCTGGCTGGGTGTCTTGGAGCAAATGCAGATGTCACAGGCGCTAGTGTATTCCTTAACGTCCTTCGCCATGTGTGGCCACCAAAGGGCCCGCTGGAGGAACTTCAGAGTCCGAGAAAACCCCGCATGGCTAGACATGCGTGACGAGTGGGCCCAGGAAAGCGCCTCGCTGCGGCAGGATGTAGGGACGTAGAGACGATTCGCGGGGGTCTCTGGAGGTGCTGGGTCGTCCTGGAGGACGTGCTGGATAGTCTCTTCCGACGGACACCTCAGGGGGGCCAGGAATCGGTGTTCTGGTAGAATTGGTGCAGGCTGGTTTAAATCCTACCTGTCTGACAGATTTCATTTTGTAAATGTACATGGCAAATCGTCTTCATACTCCAGGGTTACTTGTGGAGTACCACAGGGTTCAGTGCTTGGACCAATTCTTTTTACTATATATATGCTCCCAATTGGTAAAATCAATAGACAGCATGGGATAAACTTCCACTGTTATGCTGACGATACTCAGTTATATTTATCCATTAACCCTGATGAACCTAATCTGTTGGGTAGATTACAGGCTTGTCTTGAGGACATAAAAAATTGGATGACTCTAAACTTTTTGCTTTTAAATCAAGACAAGACAGAAGTTCTCATCTTTGGACCAGAAATCCAGAAAAGGAAATTGCTTAGTCAATCACCTGACCTGAATGGCATTACATTAATCTCAGAGAACAAAGTAAGTAACCATGGTGTTATCTTTGACCAGGACACGTCATTCAAATCCCAGGTTAAACAGGTTTGTAGGATTTCCTTTTTCCACCTTCGGAATATTGCTAAGATTAGAAGCATCCTTTCCAGGAGTGATGCTGAAAAACTAGTTAATGCATTTATTACATCAAGACTGGATTACTCTAATTCATTACTCTCAGGAAGTCCACAGAATGTGGTTAAAAGTCTTCAGCTTGTCCAAAATGCTGCAGCTAGAGTTCTGATGAGAATTAAAAAGAGAGATCATATCTCTCCTGTCTTAGCTTCCCTACATTGGCTACCTGTTAAATTCAGAATATATTTTGAGACCCTTCTTCTCACATATAAAGCTCTTAATAATCAAGCTCCATCATACATCAGTGATCTGATTGTTCCATATGTTCCTAACCAAGCACTTCGCTCTCAGACTGCAGGTTTACTGGTGGGTCCCAGAATATCTAAAATTAGAATGGGAGGCAGATCTTTTAGTTATCAAGCTCCTCTCCTGTGGAACCAGCTCCCAGCTTTAGTCCGTGAGGCAGACACCTTGTCTACTTTTAAGACTAGGCTTAAAACATTTTTATTTGATAGGGCCTATGGTTAAAATCTGATGTTAGCCTAAATCTGGACATGTGGGGGAGTAGAGGGAGGTGGAGTGTACAGTTGGTAAAGACGGCTCTCCCTTGCCCTGCCTCCAACATGCCTCCATCTAAATAGGATAGTTTATCCAGAGTTATCTCTGTTGTTATGCTGCTATAGGCTTAGACTGCTGGAGGATACACTGACCACTTTTCACACTCTACTGCTTTCTTCTACAGTCTGCTCTTTAACAGTATTATTTTCTGCCATTTCAGCTGTTAACTTTACTTTCTCTGTAAGTGTTTTTCTCCCCAGAAGAAGCTACAATGATGTTCTGCTGAGCTGTGGTGGCCTCATGGAGGGGGCCATCGTCACACCACTTAATCATTCTCCCTCTCCTGATAATAACTTTTTGCTTTCCTTGACGTTGGATGTGCTACTGCTAGTTTATCAGTTTAATTTTAGATCCACTAGGATAAATACAATAAAGTTTATCTTTCACCAAATAGAATATTTAATAAGAAATCACAATATAACTATAGACACATTACTTTGGCTTGTGTGCTTGTGTGTGTGCGTGTGTGTGTGCCTGCTCTGTCTTCTCGATCCCCAGTGAGTCGTGGAGGATGGCTGCTTATACTGAGCCAGGATTCTCTGGAGGTTTCTTCCTGTTAAAAGGGAGTTTTCCTCTCCAAAGTCGCTTTATGCTTGCTTAGTATGAGGATTGCTGTTAAGTCACTGACACTAGTCAGTGACTTGATGCAATTTGCTGGGTTCCTTATATAGGAAAAATTATTTCTGATTGGCTTAATGAACTGACCTGAATTGGAATGTTTATTATGTGAAGTGCCTTGAGACGACTCTTATGATTTGGCGCTATATAAATAAACTTGAATTGAATTGAATTGAATCCTCGAAGCGGTTGACACCATTACAGTGCCGGATGATATTTAAGTTTCAGTTTATGTTTCCTCATGTATATATTCATGAAATATTCTTTATTATTGTTGTTATTATTATTAGTGAAAGAGATGGAAAACTATATACTACTGAAAAATTAGCTACAAATATTCAATATTATTTTATTAAACTCCTGTAGATTATCATTTATGTTTTTGTTTTTAGTTTCGTAAAATTCTTTCTATAATAATTAGTCAACATGAGATTCAGTAAAGATGTATTTTACTTACAGCATTCATGCCCTGCCCATAGAAAGGCACGACAGCATGGGCTGCATCTCCCATGAGGACACATTTGTCATCAATGTGGTAAGGAGAGCATTTAACAGACACCATGGCCTGTGCAGGTAGTCGAAAATAATCTCGCTTGAGAGCGTCACTGCAAAAGGCAAACAGACATAATAGTTATTAACTTAGAAAGTGCAACTGGTCTAATTCAACAGTATATTCACTGGAAACAGTAGACAGTTTACTGCCTACAACAGTATCTTTCACAGTGCAGTAATACACATTTCTTCTGTCTTCCCTGCTTTGTTTTGTTCTTTTGACTGTTAATGCCTAAACACGTGATAATGTGTCCTCAATCTCAGCCACCTGCAACAAAGTTTGCTCAAATTAAACCTTTCTGCAAAAGTCCATTCAAGTGCAAGTGTGCAATTTCAGACTTGAGAGAGCACGGTAGAGGATGTAGCTGATGGGGTGATTTGTTTCTGAAAGGGATTGTGGAGGTTTGATGTTGAGATAAAAGCAGAGAGGAAACAAGATGTGCAACAAGAGGCAAAAGGTCACTCACACTCCGATTAGTGGGATGGCATCAGGGAAGTAATTTTGGAAAAACTCAATGACTTTGTCTCCTGTGGTGATCTTCTCAAAGTCTTCAAAGGGCATGAAGAGCGTACAGGTGAAAGTCTTGTCCTGAGTTGGAAAATAAATGGAGAAAACTGTGGTGCCGACTTAAAAAACATTTTTCATTGAGGTTCTTCGCAAATGACAGCACAAGCTCATCCTGCAGTTTTAAGGCAAATACTATAAGACAGCAGCAACATATAAAGCAAATATACAAAATTTCTGAGCACTTTATTCCTTTCAAAAACACACACACAAAAACAAAATAATACAATGATGCTAGAGCTGTACTTGCTGACATGTTTCCTGTCTTAAAAAATGTCAAGAAATCTTTGACTTTGGAGGCATACTTATGTATCTCCGTGCAGTTTTCTTTTTACCCCGCATAAGGCGCTTACACATTAGTGTCAGTACGGTCGAGGTTTGGTGGGACTGGATGGCCTGGGTTTGGTCTCAAACAGGCGGTTTAGTGTTTACATATAAATTCGAGGGACTTCTCAGGAATCCCCGAGCCTGTGGGTGGCGTTTGTAACAGAATGAAATTACTGTTTTCCACCTAAAAGTCATTTCCCCCCTCTCCTCAGCAAGAACTAATCTGCATGAGATATTGTTCAAGGTCTCATGCATTTGCTTCTAAACTGTTTTCCTTTGCAGCGCAAGAGAAGAATGAAGACTAAGGACTCTTTTTTTTAATAAATCAAAGAACTCTTTCTATTTTTAATAAAGCTAATCAAACAAAGTGTTTGTCAATAATAAGATGTTGACCAATCTGTGAAATGACAATGTTATGATTAGAAAGTTTTAATAAGTAATATGACTTTAATCTAGCTGCACTAGACATCTTGATTACACGTAATGTAAACGCATGACACATTGCTTTTACTCATCCAATCAGAACCTTCCTTTCTGAAGCGTGGCATAGTCTCTGTGGTGTTTATAAATCTGCCAACTTTAATTCGACTGTAAATCAAAACATCCAGATTAATAAAACCAGTCCCATGCCATCTTAAGACAGTTCACCGCATGCTAAGAGAAGTATCGGACCGGCCACCCGGACTTCCTTTTAAGCAAAGAACAAACAAGCTGGATAAAGTCTGTTGCACTTTACCAACCAAGCAACGGTTCCTTTCAGAATAAAAGCTGAACTCACTGATCCTCCGGGTCCATCTGATGCTGTCAACCAACTGTCGCATTTTACCTGGAGACAATCCAAACACTAGTCTGTCGTACTGCTGACGCTGTTTCATCAGCTCCGGTACCGAAAGAGGGGTTCGAGGACCTGGCATTCTGGATCTGTACGGAGGTCTCATTTTAAGGGTATGTGTGGAGCGACAAAATGGCGTCTCATGTGGGTATGAAACTTCGATCATAGCTTAAGAGCAAAACATCACTTCATCACTCAGACTTGCTTCTCTGGATACGAGAGTTCTGATGACAACATCACTCACACATACACCATTCATCTCACGTCTCATTCACACCAAGATCCATTAATCACTTAGAGTCAGAGTTAGTCTTATTTAAAATTGTTTAGAAATAAATCTTCTTAAACGTTTTAAAGGTGACTCTCTCTTCTCTTGTCTCTCAGTAAATACAAGTGTTACATAATCCCTGCAATAAAAGTTCCAATCTTCTGGTTAAAAGTACCCAAAGATCCATAAGATTGATTTCATCTTTACTATGGAATCTCATGTCTTATGGTTCATTAAATAGATGTACATTAAATTCTTACATGATGGCGAGCCATTTTGCCAGATATTTGTACATTTTTGACACTTCATGCTCATTCTGAAACATATTTAAACAGTTAAAACACAAAAATTTATAAAACTTGATGTTTCTGGTTGAAAACGGGATGATCTCGCAATCCACCACAAGAGTCCATTTAAAGTCAAAAGGGGGAGTGACACTGTTCACCTCCAACAGGAGGTGCTGATTCATCTCAAATCATTTAAGGCTGACGTGTCAGTTCTCAGCCATTTTGGTTTCATAGACAGTGGTATCTGAAAGGATATTCCCTGCTTCTTTAAAGTGAATACTGTATTTTTATGTCTTTTCAGGGTGTTTCGTGACACCGTGTACTATTCTTGTGTAACGGAGATAAAGGAATATCTCCACGGGAAGCTTGCTTCCCCCCGATTGCCGTCTGATCACCGGTAAATCAGCCCGTTAAGCTTTTAAAACGGAAGAGCGTCGTTGCAGCACGAACTGCATACGCTACTTGTCCGAAATATTAACGCGAACGAGTCATGGACGTTGGGTTATTCGGACTGGTCAGTTCTATGACAGAATTAGACCACAAAGTACTGTTTTGCTAACAGGCCCCGCTAGCTTTGCACGCCCAGCTGCTAACGCTTAGCTCTCGATTTCAGCAAACGGGAGTAGCTACACGCCAGCTGAAAATCGACTGACACAGCGAATCTGTGTCACAAATCCGCTAGTTCCCGAGGGATAAAAGCTCCGCTTCGGCCGAATTTATTTCGCTGAGTTTTTAACACTTTTGGTGTGAGAAACGTACTTTCGGTTAGCCATTTGTGCTAACCACCAGTTGGAGGTAAGGTGCATGCACACACGTGCCGCCATCTTGCCTGGGTAAGCCCACACAACCTCTCAGACAGCCATCTTGGTAAGGTCCGCCTAGTGACATCTCTGGGTAATGACTATTGCTATGAACAGAAACTGTTCTGTCCTGAATCTTCATTCAAAATGTTAGGTAATTTAATTTAGCATTCTCCACCACTATGTTGGGTATTTTAATTTATACTATTGTTCTTATATTACCTTAAACTTAAATTACCTTAAAGGAAGTCAGAACACACACACAGAGGGATTAGATTCTTAATTTGGTAAATTGTAACAAACTTTAAACAGACAACAAACTCTGCAAAGTGTGACACTTTGGAAAGGGTGAGAGAGAATCAGACCATCAAACACGGAAGCCATTTTCCTCTCACAAAGGAGCCGAAGCTGTGGAGGGGTTTTTATTTGCACATACACACCCAGAAATGCCATTAGCGTGAAACCCCTGCCTGACCAGTTTGGAATAACATCTTGGTCTTAGAATGCACAGGAAAACTTCAGATACTGGATCAAAATGCCTAAAGCAGAAAGGAGTTTCTGAAAACACCCAAACGTGAACAAATAACTAAGGTCAGGGTTTTTCCTAACAACATTTAAGCAGCAAAGGTAAATGAACTCTTCACATAGACAAAGGAAAAGATTTCACAACAAAGATGAACAAAATGAAAAAATACCTAACACAAAACACTGCAATTTATCCTGTAACAAAGCTCATTTTCATCCAATCCAATTAAGCAGGGGTTTCTTATTCAGCTTCCATTAATTTCATAATAAATTAAAGGACCTGTTACATCAGGACAATGGCTTCAGACCAAAATAATCATTTGACTTCTCTCATTTTCCAGCTGAAAAATGAAATCCAAATGCAACTCCAAATGCATATTTCACGAATGCAGATGCAATTTTTCCAGTGGAAAAATGAAACGCAGACCCAACTGCATATGCAGCCTTCTGAAATGAAAAATATGCAGCTTTCTGAAATGAAAAACATGCAGATGCAGCTTTTCAATCTGCAACAGGAAGTCACAAAAGTCCAAGCTATTGGAGATGCCTCCCATGTGGGAGGGGCTCTAACCCTGTGCTCTGCTGATTTGCCTCCTGATAAGATGGAAGCGCTGCAACCGGATGCACTGATTGGCTCTGAACTACAGGAAACACACAAAATGTCCCATATCACTCCATCCACACTGATGATAAGTGCAACCTCCACGGACAGTGGCCCGGCACCCCCTGGTGTTGAGCCTGATGAACTACTGTTGAGACCTCTCCTGCCTCAGGGGAGGGGTGGTAAGCCCACAGTATCTGTCATATTGCAACAGGGGCATCCCTGCAATGCGCTTTTAGACACGGGTTCAGATTTTACAATCATGAGCAAGTATCTTTTCGACCGCATCTGCCTGGATGTAGGTGGAGACGCACACCCTCCAGAATGATTCCCTGTGCATTAACTATCCGTGTTTTCTCTGATTCTACAGTGCTATTGTCTTCTAAGACTCTGCTCCAATTCCCGATCGGTCCTATGAGCTTGGCACACCCTGTGTACATCTGTGAGAGTGGAACCATGCCTTTGCTCATTGGCATTGATCTTTTGAAGCGCTTTGATGCTTTTATCGATCTTGGCGAAGGGGAATTGAGGGCAGGTGTTAGAAAACCTATGCCGTTCACTCCACCTTCTTTCCCCGACTCATACTGCCTTGTGGTAGGTGACCCTGAGCATGGGGAAACCGCATGCCGAGCTCAAAGCCATCAGAGATTCCCTCTGATGTTTACATTCAGATTGTACAGGTCGTGGACCAAGCGGATGCTCCTACCCCTGTAGTTGAGCGAGACAAACAACAACTTGTGTTAAAATATTCTGATTGCAATAATCTTTCTCTTTCCACCATGTGGGCAGGTAAACACCTTTACAGCTGCATTGGTGGCCAGAATCTCAGGTTTGAAACTCGACTTCTGCCAGAGAACTTCCTTAACGGTCATCTCAACAACTTTACAGACCCCCTTGCCAAACAAGGTGCGGCCGATGGTACTCCATGGGTCTTCAACCCCTTGTGGCTTCCTGAGGATGTGTCTTCTTGGTCTGACCCACCCTGTGTTTGTGTGTGTCGTGACTCGAGCTCAGTCCGCTAATGCGTCCACCTCCAAACCATCCGAGGGTGTTGTGTCCGTTCAACCTTTCTTTTCTGGTAACGATCTTGTCAGTCTTCAGACCCAGGACCCTGCTATAAGCAGGATGATCTTGCACCTTTCTGATCCAAAAGCTCATCTACATCTTTCTCTGGGGTTTGGCTCCGTTCCTGAGCTGCATGCTCTCTTTTGTGTTCGTGTCACTCCTCGGTCAGTGTTGTTGACCACAACGGCGCCGGACTGACCAGGGAATCCAGTACCTCTGAGATAATTGATGTCCACAGAGCCTGTGTTGTCTCTGCAGCAGAATCACTTCTACCTGAGTTGGGAAAGCCACCTGACCCAGGGGAGACTGACACTTGCAG